ATTTTACGCTAACTATCGTCTGTACAGTATGTAAATTAGGTACCGTAAGTCTAATACAGTACTGTAATTTTATACATTTCTTGTGAAAGAAACATTTCTTATTCAACGGCGATAAAAATTATTTATATTAATGATGTCTCCGAAGTTCAACGAAGTTTTCGCAGAAAAATAACTTATCAGAAAACTTTCGTCATCGCTAATGCTTGTTTTCGTCGCGGAGCGTCCCTCCGCAACGAAAACAAGCATTAGCAATGGCGGTGCACACTTGGTAAGTAATCCTACAATTTTTTGTTTATAACGTAGTTTATACGGATTATTCCCCAAAAAAATATACATATTTTGGAAATGTTGAGTCGGATTAGTCTAGAATTGATTAATTTTATGGAAGAAAACCTTTCAAACAGCCATAGTCCGTAAACTTGACACATGTTGGGCTGTGATTGGAAGGACTCGTAAGAAATCGGATTCCTAAAGAATGAAACGTATCTATGATCTTATAGGGGGGGGTCGACTGTATTTTGGAAATGTTGAGTCGAATTAGTCTAGAATCGATTAATTTTATGGAAGAAAACCTTTCAAACAGCTGTAGCTAGTGAACTGCATATGTGACGGGCTGTGATTGGCACATGTATTTAAGGACTTGTAAAACATGAATTTCATAAAAAATGGAACGTATCTACCATGTTATAGGGGGATCAACTGTATATTCTTGAGTAATTTTATTTAAATTAAAAGAAAATTGTCAAAATACTGAGAAATATTACATTACAATAAACATTAGATTACAATATATTTACAGTTTATAAACAATTTAAAACTAATATAACATTTTTACATACTTTTCAGCAGCATGACAAATAGTTCCACAGGTATCTGCCATATCATCTACGAGAATAGCAACTCTATCTTTAACATCACCAACAAGAACCATTGATGCTACTTCATTTGCCTTTTTCCGTTCTTTGTGAATCAGAGCAAATTCTACATTTAGTCTGTCTGCTATAGATGTAACTCTAAGTAAATTTTAAAAAGTGATATAATTAGTTAAATTTTATAAGTCTAGATTTTATACATCCTATGTAATTACAGTAGAGCATCGATTATNTATAAATAAAATATAGAACTGGGAATGATTATTTGTGATTTAACCTAGTGACAAGTAAATTCGATTTACATCATTTTTTGACTTAAGTCACCTCTCCTGGAACCAATTACCAATGTATGGCGAGATATACCTGTATTTTAGTCATATATGTTTTACATATAACTGTACAGTAAACTGATGGAGATATCTCAGGTAAATTTTTTATTATCCATAATAAGTACAGTAGAGCCTCGATTATCCGACTCAATTGGGGACTGGGATTGGTCGGATAATTGAAAAGTCAGATAACCGAAAAGTATGAAAATATCCATTATTAGTGTGGTATATTAGTATATTGCTATTAACCTACTTCGCGTTGAATTTTCATCGATATTAAGCCTAACAAAAATTTTTTTAAATAATAATCGTCGCTATTGTATCGTTAAAAATTAGAAAATTAAGCCTCGTTTAAATACTGGCTCCCTTTCATGGTCGAATGAGTGTTGCCAGCTAAAACACGTAAAAATAATATTAAAGTAGCCAAGACATAGCCAAATATTGTAGCGCCACATCACAATGGACATTTGAAATTTGCCGACTAGGACGGTCGGTTAATTGGGGGTCAGATAATCGAGGTTCTACTGTAGTGTTAAAAATACACGTAAAAAACTGTTCATGTTTATAAGAACTAGTCTCTGCTGTAATTAAGAAATGTTTTCCTATACTTTTTAATGTATACACATTCTAATGTTTGATAAATTACATATAATTTAACAGAATTTGGCAATAATTTATAACATTTATAGAGTATATAAGCCAGTGGTTTCCAAAGTGAGTGGTATTGCCTCCCTGTGGGCAGTGAGTAAATCTAGGAAGCAAAATGAAGCAAGTCTGTGGCAGGAGGACTCTGGAAACAGGAAACTGAACAGTGACCATAAGTGAGGATTGGAGTCACTGACAACTTTTCCCTTTCCTCTATTAAAACACAATATAAAACATTGCACTTAATTATTTTTCCAGATGTGGAGAACAATGTACGGGAAGAACACAAAGTGTGAGATTTGTAGAAAAGTTTTTCTAAGAATATTTTCAAGCCTTTCTCATGCAAGAGAAAATGGGTTAGGGGGCATTGAGGTATAATTGGAGACATTGGGTTTAAGTTTATAGAACCAATGGAGACAGCAGCTTGAAAAAGTTTGGGAATCAATGATATAAGCACTATATAAAGAATACCAAAATTATAATATTAACATAAAATAGTCTGGAAACATTGTATGTAGCTATTATAAAAATATGTCCAACATCTACTCTCAAATTTAGAATCATTTGCATGTGTAGGAACAGTATTGATAATCATATCTAATAAAACTGAGTCCTACAAAATTATTTCAATTAACTATTCCTAAAAATTTTATTATAGACCTTATAATTTTATTTTCTATATTTGAATTAATCTTGAAATTGTATTGATATACAGTATACCTACAAATAGTGGACATCAGTGGAAATGAGAAGTGTATCTGCTATTTTCACGTATATGTAATAGATGTCCCATTTGAAGGATCTGAGAATTGTAAAAATGTCCATTAAGTAGAGATGTCTGCTATTCAGGAGTGTCTGTAAATGGAGGTTTCACTGTATTTAACAATGTTCTAACCCTAATTTCTAGTCTTCCTTTTAAAAATTGTTTAATAATTATAACATACTATCCTAATGCCCACAGAAAACACTAAAAGATAATTAACTATAATTTAATATCAATTTATGTGTCAAGATATGCATAATACATTTAAATAAGTATTGTGTTGTGTTTAATTTTTCAATTAAAATCCAATAATTTTTATTTCAGTAAATTTCAGAATGTAAAATTAAATTTTTAGAATATTTTAAAATTATAAATATCATATATAATTATATAATAAAATATATAAAATTATAAATATGATTTTCTAATTTAAACTTAAAATTTCAAAATTTCTAGCCAAATTAAAAACAATGAGAGAATTGTTTAACATTTGAAAATAACTATTCATATTGTCATATTGTACAGTTCATCAGAAACTGCTTATCATAATTATTGGACTTACATGGTTGAATATTGATATGAACTTTGAATAGTTAGTTGATCTAAATAAAATATTTCAGATTGTCTTATAAACTATATAAATGATTATTTTTACTTAGAATTGTTTATAATCTATCAAAAGAATATATTACCTTTTTGCACCACCAGCATCAGGAGATACTATAATGCTATTTTTCCACTCTGAAATGTTTTCTCTGATCCATTTTAAAACTGCGGGTTCAGCATATAGATTGTCAACTGGGATATCAAAAAAACCCTATAAAAATATACATAATCAATATTTTTGAATGTTCTTTATAAACTGTTAATTAAAACTCTTAAAAAACTTTATAAAAGCTTAATTAAAATTCTTCAACTTAAAAAATTTGAGCAGTTTTCATACATAATGACAACCATTCAGAACATTTTTGTAATGTACTTTTTTTTCATGCATAAGTTTCCTACCAAATTATACTTGTGATACTTCTACATTTATATATAACTCTAAGTTAAACACATTAATATTCTTTTTAATGTTAATTATTTAATCTCTCAACAACTATTGAATGCTATACAGTAACATTTAAAAGAAATAGATTTTCTATACATTGACATCGTCTATTGTTTACATATTGATCATGTTCTTTCTGAAAAGGTATTCATAACAATAATTGTACTAATTTTTCAATGTATAATTTCTAACCTAAATTCCAGTTTTTATTTTAAAAATTGCAATTATTTTTATTTTTTAAAAAAAAAAAAATGTGTAAGAGTTAATTTTTGCATATTTTGTTATAAAAATTAATTACATAACAAATACCAATGATAAAAAAAATTAAAATTTTTTGATGGTCATTCTGAAAAAAATTAAATTGAGAAGGGGCTAAACAAATTGATATAATGTGTAAGAGTTTGACTTTGATTGATGATGTCACAAATTTGTTAAGCTTTCAATAGAGGTGGTGTGAGTTAGAGTGAGAGATAGAGTGAGAAATGTTCTGTTTGTTCACTGCTGCCAAAGTAAATTAAATGCAGAATAATTCAGAAAATAAGAGATGATTAATGCAGTAATATTACATTAACAAAAAGAGTGAAACAATAGCAAACAAAATAAACTGATTAAAAAAAAAAAGTGTAAAGAAACAAAATACCACTGAGTTATGTTTCAAAGAGTGGAATAAATAATTCCTGTCAGCAATTTGCTATTGTTAAAAAATGTCAAAATCTTCTAAATTAATTAATTTTATTAATTTAATTTTAATTACTATATTAAACTGAATAAGATATGATGCCTAATGCCTACCTTTAGGCCAAATTATTTAGCAATAATATAACCCAATCTAATCAACTGTTTGGGTTTTTTTAAGTACCAAGTATAATTAAATGCAGGATACTTAATTTCATATAAGAACAGGTGAGTGACCAATTGGGTTGTGAAGAAAAAAGTTCAAAACTAACCAGAATAGATAGATATAGTATATGTCTTTTCAATCCGAATGGTTAACAAACGGTAGACTTTCTTTCAGCTCTGAGGTTAAGTATTCCTTTATTGTCTTTTCAATCCGANTTTAAAAATTGCAATTATAATTTTAAATAATAAATATTCTCGTTGAGTTATGAAAATCCCATCAATTGCAACTTCATACATTTATGCTACTATATATTTATAATAATAATAAACTATCTTGTTTCAATCTGAAAATTGCATACATTTCCTTCATAATATTTTCTGGTTATCTTCTAATTTTCATGTAAACCTAGCTATTAGTTTTTGTAATAACTCTATGAAAATAAAAAAATTAAGCCCATTAATCTTCATAATTACTAATAGCAAAATTGTATTCACAAAGAAATTATTTTTGGTTTTTAAGTAAAAATATTATTTATTCTTCCTCTATACAAATATTTATTACCCAATTTTCAATAAAATTTTTAATCATTAATTCACTAATGATTGTTCTCAAATAATAATGACTACATGAATTGTAATCACCATTGTTTTTACTGTATTGCAATGAAACATAAATTAGCTTTTAATTTGTTCTTATTCTGTACTAAGTTAACTATCTTTTATTTATTTCATTATATTGTTAATAAAAGAATTAAAATGTTTATACACTATAATTCATTTACACACACATACAAATTTAATGTACAAATCAATTCTGAAATAAATCTGATTAGGTACAATAAATTTTCATTATTATACATTTTTCAAGATATAATGATGATGCAAATTTTTATTTTATTGTTTTTAAAATTAATATAGTGTAACTTTCACTAAATGAATTGACTATATATTTTTCTTTTAAACTAAAATACTGAAATTAAGTGCAAAATAACCAAATAGTTAAGAATATTCTCCTTACCTGTATTTGAGAGGCATGTAAATCCATTGTGATAATATGATCTGCTCCAGCAACAGACAACATATTTGCTACTAATTTTGCTGAAATTGGGGCTCTACTCTAGAAAAAGAATAAATTTTTTAATATTTTAAAAAATATTTATATTATGCATTTTATTGACAAAAACTTAATAAAATTACATATTATCAATTTTGTAATGACAATACTGACTTAAAATTAGGAAGATTGTTTTCATTTACAACAACACAATAAAACAATTAACATGGTAATTGTTTGTCAGTATGGACTACACTGATCATCCACTCTGACCTTAAAAATAACACCATTCTCTCAAATTTCACACAAAGCCAACACTGAGATAATTTATAGCAAGTTTCTTAAATTTAATATGTTTATTTTTGTGTTTTTTGAATCAAATTACCATAAAATAAATAAAAATGTATTTTCCACAAGTATTTTACATTGTTAGAAAGAAGACAAAATGAAGAAATTAAACAATAATCATAGTTTTTGATATAATGTTGACAGTTTCACAGTTTTGGAATAAAAATTCGTTTTTTTTAATGAGCCCCTTTAGAGAGGGATGTATAACATCACTTAAACCAGTATGCCAGTTTTTACTGTATAGGAATATTTAATTTCCTGCTGGTCTACCCCCAATAGCTTGACATGTCAGACAATCCACAAAAATACAGTAGTATGTACTGTACATTGTGAATTATCATGTAAATTGTGATAATTTATCAACATTAACTTATTTATTAAAGTTGTGCATTTACAAATAAATATAAAAGTCAAAATTATATATTTAAAAATTAAATTATATCTATTTTATTTCTATACCTTGTCCTTTTTATCTTGTCTTGCGTAAGGAAAGCATGGAATTACAGCAGTTACACGTGATGCTGAAGCAATTTTGCAAGCATTAATCATAATTAATAATTCCATCAGATTGTCATTAACTTCTCCACATCCACTTTGAACAATATAAACATCTTCTCCACGTACTGACTCACCAACTTCCACGCTGAAATATGCATTAAATAACAACATTTATTAACATTTGTAACATTTATTAACATTGAATAACATTTGTAAATTATTATATAAATTACTGTATATTCAATTATGAAAACTTTTTATATATGAATATTACCATAGTTTACATAATTATTACAATGCATAACATTAAAATACTATTCATTTAAAATTATAAGATAAAAACATATTAAAGATACAAAGAATAAAAATCAATTGAAAATTTAAGTTGTTTTTATATAAAACATTTAAGTTACTGAATAGTCTAACAATTAAACTACATATATTTATTTTAGAGATGGTTAAATATTACTTTTCTTGAATTTAAACATTAACCAGATCTCAAATATTCAAATGTCTTGAATACTCAAACACCCCAAATACTTACAGAACTCAATAATCTTATCTTGAATCCTTACTGCCTTTTTACATGTGTCCAAATTATACAGACAAACTTATAGCCTAAGTACTTTTGGGTTGATTAGCCATCATCAGATGGTTCAATTATGTTCCATTGAATTTAGAAGTTATGAACATAAAATATATTATATGTTTGGAACCTTTAAATGTAATGGAATATATTTTTAATTCATTTCATTTTTTATACATGTGGCAATTTGCCATCAGAATTTATAATTTGATGCACAAGTCTGCTAAAAATGCACCCAGTCTCCCACAAAGTTACATAAAAGAGAAAATGATCTGTCTACAGTGGATTAATTTTACAGCACAGTATGTCCAATGGTATGTTCAAATGTCTGCCATGGCAAAATGATTTGAAGGATGCATATAAAAAAAATCAAAATATCAGTTAGTGAAATGAACCTACACCAATATATTGGGAACATTCTAATAAGTATATCAAACATCCTGAAGCCTGATATGTATAGAAATACATAACCAAACAATTGCCTTAAATAATTGGGCTATAAATCTGCTATTTAATGATGAAATACTTAGTACAAAATACACTTCATATATCACAAATAAAATTTACCTTCATAAAGAATGATACAATGTGTGTGTTTATGTGTGTGCCTGAACTGATGTTATACAGTACATTACATTATGGGTGTTATATTCTATTGTAATAGACCATTAATCTTTAAAATTGAACTTCATGTTGTGTTAAAGTACTGTACAGTGGTGCCTCGTATAACGTACCTAATCCATTCCAAGTGCACGTCCGTTAAGTGAAAAGTCCATTATATGAAACACATTTTCCCATACAAATACATGTTAAAACATATAATTCATTCTGCAGCATAAAATAACCATACTGTACCATTAAAAAAATGAAAATGGAGCAGTCACCAATTATGCTGGTTAGTAAGATGTTGTGAGGAGGAAGTGGAGGAACACTTTCTTCACACATTCATACAGATACAGACTTTTTACATATTGCAGCAAGTCTCTTTTTATTGTTTTTTAATCGGAGTCAGATTCAGGAGAGGCTACTGGGGCTTGCAAGGTCAACTCCTCTTGTTCCATCCTTTGTCTTTTGGCAGGTGGCTTCTTGAAAAATATGTCCAAGGTGGTCTGTTTCTCTCTCTTCTTCAACACCTGTCGGAAACAACGGGCAAGGGTGTCATTGTAGAGATCATTGATCCTGTTGGCCTCAACTATGTTTTGGTAATGATTGTTGGTAAACTCCTGAACCTCTCCCCATTTGACAAGGAAGTTTTTGTCAACTTTCACTCCTTCTGATGATTTCTTGCTTTGTTTCAATTGAAATCACCTTTCTGTTTTTTTAGAAGCCATGATTTGCACAACACGTGAATAAATGTAAATACTAGTGATGCCACGAATAGTGATTTTGCTGAATACTGAATATTTGGCTACACTCTCAGCTGAAGCGGCTGAATATTCGGCAAAATATGTGTACATTTCGCAGGTGACAGGTTACGACCTGTCTCATTGCGGTGGGTGCAGTAGCAACACCACAGGAACATTTGTTTTATTTGCAAGTAGATCGTGTCACAACATGCATTATTTGTTCATTGTTACATCAAATTGTGTTACTAATAGTCCTTATTACTAAAAACCATCACTGTATCACTTTATATGAAAACTATTCGCCTTCAAAGAACTAATACAACAACTTAAAGAAGTCACCACACCGGTGTGCGCCACAGTATTGGATTTCAGATCATTATATCCATCTATCAAACTACTGCCATGTTTCTGTGCGATCAGGGACTTCCTCTTTTCTAAAGTTAATGATACAACAATGCACCGAGAAATTCTGGAGCTATCCCATTTGATATGTTACAACTCGGTATTCCAATTTAAAAGTGCAATCGTTTGCTATCAACAAATGCTGAAAAAATTGTTTTCATTTATCACAACTTGCCACTGATAGATTTTAAGTATTAAATGTAATAATTTGTGATTAAAATAAATACGTTTTTGAGTAATATGTGCATTTTTTTTTTATGATTCAGCCAAATAGTATGCAACATTCGGCCGAATACCAAATATTAAAAAAAGTAGCCGAATAGGCCGAATACCGAATAGTAGTCGAATATTCGTGGCATCTCTAGTAAATACCCTGCACTGAGGTGATGTACGTAATAAACAAGGGAGCAAGCCGAATCCCAACAAAAGCTCTGTACTTCAGATATACTAATAATATATTCTAATAATACTAATATATTATAAAAATAGCAGATTGTCATTGGCAACAGCAAACGAGTGGAAGCATCATTCGCACTTGTTTGCAAAACGTCCGTTGTTTGCTTCATGTAACTGCCGAACGGAAAGTCCGTTGTTTGCAGCATCCATTATATGAAGCACCACCGTATGTTAAAGTTTGGTTGAAGTTGTGTTAAATTTTACTTTTAAAGACTAACGGCCTATTTTAATAGGACTAGTAGCCTGGGATGCCCCCTAGTGGGCATTCTTTAGAAATTTCCATGAGGCATGGTTCCTTTGACTTTTTTGTTCCTATCAATATGCTCTACAGCTCTGTTAAAGTCCGAATGGTAAGATTTAC